TTTTTACCTCAAGGCCCGCCCTTTTTTTCCCCCCCTTTCCCCCCCCCCCCCCCCCCCACATCATCCCGACCACAGTAGGAAGGTACCAGTTATCATTTCCGACGCGTAGCTCTACTCTGCTGCCCAAAACCATCAGGGAACGAAGCCGCCTCAGTTATAATTACCTGATGTTCGTAACGGCTGGTTGACTTAGTGCCTAAAGTGGATAGGTACATTTGGGTGCAAGGTGAAAAGGGTGTGCAAAGCGTGGGTGAAACGAATGACAGGTTTTATGTCAGAAGCCGGGAACAAACTTTCGGTGGTTAGGTCTGATACCACCGAAGAATACAACTTATTTATTGGGCATACCAGCGGTTTTGTAAGTCATGTACATATATTCTCGACAAACAATCTACGGTTGGATGACTGCACCGTTGAGTTTATGCAACCCATTGAAGATCATCTGTCGTCCCACTCAAATCATTGTGGAGTTTTGGGCTGAAACGTCGACATATCCTTTCTGGAACCAAGAGTGAGCTTTTCCGTATTGTCTACTCACCACTCATGCTTGAATTTAACAGGTCGTTTCTTTATGTTGGTGAATCCATCCTTTGCAGCCACCTGAACTTCGACATTCCTACCCAACCTACCCAACACCATGTAATCGTACAGGCGTTTTGTACTGCTTGCTTGTTTGCTGTTTGGGTGATCTACATGTGTCCAATTTATTCAGCAGCGGATGGTGAACTGAGTTCAGCCCGCGGCATTAGGTGAAGTCTATCCTGTGGAACAAATGCGGTGGCTACGGTTGTTTGCTTGTTTGTTGTTCAAGGACTATACAGTTGTTTTATTTGTCTAGTTTTAGTGGCAGAGTAAAACAGACACCTTCAGTTATGGAAGAGGTTGTTTGGAACGTCTGGACTGAGAAACGTCTGGAGAGAAACACACAGACTGCCCACCTTACTTAGCTGGTGACCTGAAATGCGGTTACCAACCGGTGTCATCGGCTTTTCTGTTAGCCTGTAGCTAGATAGTCTACTTTAGTTTGTGGATAACTAAGTTCAGTGGTAAAGGTGCGAACCTACTAACCTGGCGGTCCGTGGTTTGAACTCTACCTCGGTATCTCGATTGCCTGTGTTTGGGTAAACTGGTACTGTCTTGGTCCTTTTGCTTCCATCGCATTGCAGCTGAAAGATTATTCCTTCGTTTTTAATGGATACATGAGCTCCATGAGCTTACCTTTTCAATCTCATTATTTCTCACAATAGGCGTCTTCACTAAAGTACCGTACAGCTGTTTCGTCTTCACTCCGGTTCACCGGGAGTATACCTCATACATAGGCATATTCCAACCGGAGGACTTCGGGATAGTGATTCAACACTCCACCGTTCAATTATCCGTTTACATCACTCCGGTGCGCTGCTGAATGTGGCGTGTGTCGATGACAGCACCGCTTGTATCGAGTCAGACCCACAGAAACCAGGTTGTCATCATCATTATTGACAGCAGGACATCGGTGTTTAACACCGGTGCTTCGCTGACGTACAACCACGATTTAATTGAAAGCCTTATTGTGAAGAAAAGAATAGAGGTGGACGGTGAAGGAACCTTGTGCTACAATCATTCCGAGGCGCCTACACCTCCAAACACTCATTCAAGCAATCTGGGTAGAAACTGACAACAAGATCGCCACTGGTATCAGTTGGCAGCCATATCTTGTAGTGTCTCCAACCAGGCAGAGTTAGGATCACGCGGTCCCCTACGACAGAAACCTGTGAAGTGGTCTTACGATGAGAGTAGATCACATCTACGGTATCTAGGTCCATTATGTTACGCAGAGTTGAAACAAGGTAGAGTAACCCCGTTCAGCTTTGTGTCATAACTGTCATTCCATATTTTTGGTTTATTCAGGATTTTCAGTCTGGTAATAGTTACTGACCGGAAGGTCCGTGGTTCGAACCCGACCTCTGTCTCTCGACTTCTCCTGTCTAGACTTGGGCAACCTGGCGGTATCCCAGCACTGGTGCAACCTTCGGGTGTCATGGCAGCTAGGCACCAAAAGAGTGCTACAGCTTAGCGATTTATTTTCTTAACAGTGCTCCTGGGAGTTATGAACAGGTGAATTTTATCCTCTGTCTCACTGGATGGTTCTGTCAACAGAGTGCTACTTTCGTATTATATACGTTTGCATTTTCAAATCCACTGCCTTGTTGATCAACGGGAATGGTGCACCTTCCGTAGTTCGAAACTGAGTTATCCAGTGAAATCTTTTTGTTCACCGGCAGCTACGAAGTAGTACCACGAATATTGGTAGACTGACCCACTTGAAAGTGTTTCTTTCATTGTTTCATTCTCCAGACGAACAATCAAACCAGAAATGCTGACACCCGACGCCGCATTTTTTTGGCGGGCTTTGGCAGAATACCTTAATAAAAGACGAGAAAATCAACCTAAAGGAAATCCACATCCAACGAATGATGTCATTGCTGACGACGAAGAATCTGAGACAAACACTGGGGCAGTTTCGCCAGAACTGATCATTCCTTCGGCGAGTTCCTATGTGGATATGACGAAAATGTAAATCCTCCATCATATTTTATCCAGTACTCCCGACCAGTGCTTTGATGTAACCATTTAAGGGAAACCAAACTAAAATCTGATTTGGTTGCCTACAACTAACCTAACCTCTTTTTACAGTCTTAAATGTATGATGGTTAAAAACTTGGTTTTCTGTAATCGCTGTCGATTAGAATAACAACACACCCAGGATCCGATTGTGGTTTGAGTCACCAATTTACCCACCGTATATATTGTTGCCAATCGCTGGTCATCAGTCAGGCACTGATGTTTATAACCATTCCCATTAGGTTTTTTACTATGGTTCTGCTAACTTCGGATATCTAACTAGTTCTTCATAGGCTGATTTATGGAGGAAAAGTAACCATATTTGCAGTCTTTTCCATAAATGAATGTCTCAGCCAGCCTGAGTGACCTTCTTCAGGAGCGGACCAATTGAAATCACAAAGGACAAAAGAAGCAAACGTCGACTTGGTGTCCATCGATGTACAGTCAATCTGCAAGAGACCACACAATTGGTCAATGTAACTATCACATCTGTGTTCACTGAAGCTGAGGTCAGCTAGTCACCCTGTCGTTGTTTTTCTTCACCTTAAAATTGATATCGTACAGAGCGCACAATGCATTCGACCTCGTTGGTATCGCATACGTTGTGGATATTGCTCGCAGTTCCTCTGGTATACAGAAATCTCAAAATTAACAGGATACCATGGTACGGGTGACCTTTTTACTTTTATGTGGTCTTCAATCGATGTTTTTTTGTTCGTTTCTGTATTCCGTTGTGATCTCTCGTGGATCGCACTCAGCTTTTCGGTTGTGTGCCGTAGGATTTTATTGAAAGTAATGAGTGCTACGATTCGTAATAGGTCAAATGCATTCAAAGTGCTAGAATTATTAGCAAGAAAATTTGTAGATTGCCTTACGATACCGCTTTTCCGGTCTATCACAACACCGATACAGCCAGGCGGTTTCGCCCGTGCTAGGAGAATTATTTTGCGGAAGATACTTGCGGGTGCCGTGCATAGCTGCGCCGTCGTATTTTATAGAAAGTTGTTGCGGTGAAGACGGTCAGATTGGTCTTGAAAGAACGACAGAATGTGAGTTCACTGCTTGAATCTGGAAGGTTAAGACAAGGATCTGTCACAGGCAAATTGCACACCATCTGCTGTATCGTGGGTGGCCGTCTATTCGGTTACGCCTGCGCTGAGCCTGCCAGACTACGCGATAAGGAGAAGACAGAGAACTGGAGATACGGCTGTATTGCCAGGACAAAACATACAGAGCGTCTGCGTAATACATAGGATGACTAAATGGCCAAATATGGTCGTTCACTTGTTCGCTCCATACAGCACATGGCGGTGTTCCGGTCGTGAACAATCTCAGGCCCAATACGCTGGTCGTATGTTACTAATCCATGTTTGGTGAGAGCCGCCAACTCTTACTTTCCGGACTTGTCGTACCGATGTTGACCTTGGGGATGCGTCACTCTCTGCACATGTGCTTTTTTTCCTGTCTGGGCGCGTCCTGACACCATCGTAATGTAATCCATCCTTTGTGAAACTGAGACATGTTCCCTGCGCCAGGTAGACGAAGCACTGTTCAGGTGGAGATATCAAATGGGTAACGAGTGCTTCGGCAAGCTGTTTTTAAAGTGTATTTTCGTATGATAGATAGAAAAATAAGAAAAAAGATCACCGTTCAGCTGTAACACACTTTCGGTGCCTAACTGCCATGCCACCCGAAGGGAGCACGAAGGCTGGGATACTGTCAGGTTCCCCAAGCCTGGACAGGGGAAGTTGAGGGTCTGGTTCGAACCACGGACCTCAGTAAATTCGCGCTCTAACCACTTGGGTCATCTCGCCCCATCTTTTGATAGATGAGTGAATCACACCAAAGTCATTGTGGCTAGATCACAAGTAGAATCTCGGGCGAACACCTGCATCTACGTGTTTTTGTTGTGCTGATTTAAAACTACCAAAAGGCGAACATTTTGTGACTTAGCAATGGAGTGTGAAAACTAGGCCTTGTCGGGCTACCAGTTATCATTTCCGCGGATTGGAATCCCAGGGGTGGACACAATACCGATTAGTGGCACCGATGGACAACCAAATCGCGCAGCCAATGACCCCTCTGTATCCATTCTATTACTTCAAATGCGTAGCTATCCCTCTTTATCACATAGCTACTTCAACGCCACCGAGGTGGCAGGGTCTTAGCTCCTAGTGTGTGGCATTCCCGTCCTTACTCTGCATTTTCTCTGTCCGGGGGACAATAGCGCATGGAATCAATGGACTCGTGTTGTACTGTCTGTAGCTGAGCAAAGAATACTCCATGCTCTTATTTACTCCACTGTTTTGCTGGTTGCGTCTATTTTTCTCTGTACCCCTGTATCTAACGACTATCCGTGCAGCGACTTACTGTAGGTGTACCAGTATCTCGAAGTTACTTGTCGCTACGGTGTACGATTATCTGTCACAAGTTCAGCCAAGTTTATCTGCTTTTTCTAAATCTTGATAACGAGAAAGGAATGTACCGATCTAACAATTTCAGACCAAATGACTATAAAGATGGGCTTAGGAATGAAGGCTCGGAAAATCCTGGAGTTTGTTCATTTGTAACCTGCTACGTTTACGCATTTTCGACTGACTAATTGACTACGACTGCCGCATGCAGCACTTGTGCATAGATTCAAACTTTACTGATCAACAACCAACCGTTTCCTTAGGGATAAATAAGTTCGATACCCCTCATCTCATCTATGAGACTCACAGCAATTTTCGGCAACTTGTGGGCTGTTCGTGCGGTCGCTTCCAAGCACCAGTCACAAATGTACACAAACTGCTAATCCACTCTCCTTTTCGTTATTCTCCTGGCAGACTGATTGATCAGCTAGTACAAATGGTGTTAGCCGAAGAGTTTGACGAGAAAGCGATGGAACAAGAGTGCATTGTGGAACATGTGCTTCGCCTTGCCCTGTCCTTAGACCTCAGTGACGAGTTTGGTCGGCGCAGACTTGTGACACTTATTCATGAATGGATCACTAGTCCCGTGGTCCCGAGCACACTGTCCACTCATCTACTCAAGGTTCACGCGTTACTGGAGCCCAATTTGGTGAGAACTGTAATCCGTCTTACACTTATTCCGATATTCGTTGAACTCTTCTGCTGCAGTAGTCTAATTACCCATCCTAGAGACCAGTTTCTAGGATGGGCAATTAGACTACTACAGCTGAAGAGTTTTTTGGGGCGAGATGGCTCAAGTGGTTAGAGCTCGAATTTACTGACCGGAAAGTCCGTGGTTCGAACCCGACTGCTGCCTCTCGACTTCCCCTATCTAGGCTTGGGCTTATTACTGTTAGAGACCAGTTTTATTCAACCGAGTTTCTCCCAACACTTTTGGAAATGGTGCCTTCGTGTCGTTTGATTACTTTTCTTAGCTTATGCTCAATTGGGTTCACACTTCGTCATAGGACTTCTGTAAACTGATAATAAAATAAATGATGAACAACAGTCGCTCAGCTGCGGCATCCTTTTAGTTTTTGGCTGCAATGCAACCCCAAGAAAACACTGGGGCTGTGATACCACCAGGTTTCCTAAGGGCAAACAAGGTCAACTGAGATGTCAAAGTTAGTTTTGAACCGCATCTGTGATCCAAAACTGCTGAACTACGAAAGCCCAAGAGTACTAGTTCTAAATGTGAACCACTCTGTAAGATAGTTCGACGGTGCAAATTTACTGACCGGATGGTTCGTGGTCGAGCCCAATCCCGGAACATCGACCACTCTTGCTTAGACTTAGGAAGCCCGGTGGTATCTCAACCCTCGTGCTTCCTTCGGGTGGCATGGCAGGATAGCACCGGAAGAGTGTTGCAGATTTTGTCATTTGCGGTTAGACACGAGCCAGCGGACTGATCCAACACTGTAGATTTTACAGCTAGGCCCAAGGTAGTGGTGCCCTGTGAGCACCTTACATTGCAAACGTAGGTCATATTACCCCACCCAGATATTGCCTTCGCACGATTTGTTGTGCAGTTCACGTGTGAAAAGACTTGGGAGTAGTCAATCGTGAACGCAATAGTCCCAGATCAGCCAGTCGATGCAGTCGGCCAATTTTATGCTTCGGCACTTGCACTTTCTCACTGGTCTGACTAAAGACAAAGTAACCCTTTGTGTACAGCAGTCTAGGATGGTGTTTCTTGATCTGCAATACCTGTGGCATTGATTGTCGTGAGCACTGGTGCAGTGCTAAGAAACCCGGTCACTACGAGCAGGTACTCACAGTGTTTCCATCTGGTACGTTATCCGAATCTTGTTGGAACGCCGCACAACAACTCAGTAGTCACTGACAGTTGAAATGGCTTTGAGGATGAGAAACACGAAAAGTCAGTGAAGTGCTTGAAGTTCAAGGAATAATAGTGAAATCAGATAACTGTAGAGTGGTCTGGATCAGTTGAACGTCCCGACACCAGCAAAACTCTACTCACCAATTTCACCAAGATCACGTGCAGTTAATGAACGGATGGTGGATAGGTGAGCAGGTGGTTGGTTTCTTCAGTCGTCAGGGGGCCATCTTGTGGAGCCCTTTTCACCCAGTATTCCACATCGCTGAAGTGATTCAAGAGAGTTCATATCCTTACTCGATAAAGGAATACACAAACAGTTGTCAATAATTCGGTCGCATTGGTGATCCTTTTCTCCAAGAGAAGCCGTATCAGCCATGCGAAACGTCGACAGATATGACGTAGTCACATTAGCCGTGTTGCTCCCACCTGTGTGCAACCAAATTTTCCCATTATATGTGGTCTCAATGGGGCCCAACCCAACGCATACGCTAGCCCAGTTGGATTCACAATTCATTGTTCGGGGAACTCCTTCGTGCTCCGTTTATAGTTGTTCTCAACTGCAAAATTTCAATGGTTTCTTCGTGTATCGTAGACGGATACGTCCGGCCTAGGAATCACCACCCTCTACGCGACCCGGCCTTTTTGTAAGAACAACTCCACGGCTTCTTTGTCATGTGTTCTGCTCTGTTCGGTCGCATTTTGTCCTGCATGTCCACATTTACATCTTTCAAGTTGTGTTCGCTGGTGAACCCGTCTTTCGTTTACATAGCGCCTATCAATTATTGATTGCATGCCAAAATCCAACACAAACTGAATATCGCAGTAGCGTAGTTGATTGGCGTTGTTGGAGGAGTGCGGAAAATGTCGGGTATGTGATACAAAGGCATCATTACTGTGCGTTGACTCTTGCGTTTCCTGCTTGACCGGGAAATGCTTCCGTTCTCCATACCTCCATCACCCAGACACTTATGCGGTAGCATGATCGCAGATGGTGCGACAGTCTGCAATGTGTCGAACACTTGGAAGGTGCTAGTAATTTGACCAATCTCCAAAGTGGAAACAACGCTGCCATGTTATGGTAGACCTTCAGATAGGGAAACGGTTTCGCGGACGCAAGGGGAATGCTTCAGTGATGAGGTATCAATCATTTCAGGTCCATGGATAAGCAATCAGAACGAAATGAGATTGCCCTTTGCTAAAAGGCCAAGCAAAACAGCTGTTTTGGTTTTTGGAATCATCAGCAGTGCGAAGTTGACCAATCTCCTGGTCATTGCATGAAAATTGTACTATCAGGCCATAAACACCTCGACAGAATGTGGTGCTTCCTTCTTTAGTCTCGTGCGAGTTTTCGCTGCGCCGTATATATTTACACATATACACTGCATCCAATAGAGGTTTGTTTTGTGAGTTTTTCACCGACTAAATTGTAATCGGTAGGGAGGTATGACGTGTGAAAACCTTGACTTTACGTATTACCCAGCGGCAGCAGTTCAGCTGAGTTTAGGGGACTCTGGAACCGACGTCGTTGTCTCCAACACCCTCAAGTGAGCATTCACACTGCACATGGAAACCAAAAGTGCTGCGACTCAGTTGCTAACTGGTGTTTTCGCGTTAGCTTACTTCGGCTATCTTCTGGAAATGTTGGCGTATCTCGCGAACACTAGGAACTATCCGGAAGTATCCACATTTCAGTCCTATACACTTACTGTATATGGAAATACAACTCAAATTCTCCCCCTCCCTTCCTCTGTCGGCCACATGTCCGCTCACCCAAGCCGTTCAAAAAATAACTCTGAGTAATCGGATTCCATATATATCCACTCTCCTTTGTGAATATTCACGCGACCCATTTCATTTAAGCTAAGAGTGTCTATGAAAACAAAGCTCCGATGGACCGAGCCTGATACAATGTGGATCGGTTTAAACGTGACTGTCATTCACGCCTTATATCATCGAAACACCGCTCCATAGCAACCTTAATTGGTCAGTTTACACGTTCGAAACCGGAATGGAAGATTCATACAGTTTAAAAAATGCCCACCATATGGGATATCCTCACTGTAGGGGTATTTTGTTGTCCCAGGATAATAATTACTGCTTCAGATTATTAGGGTGCTCTGTAATTCCACGCGAGTTTTGCTGATGAACCCACGAAAAATTCTCCAAATGAGGTGTTTCTTTGTAGTTAACGGTTTTTGTATTTGCTTCTGGTGTCGATTCACTCACAAGATAAGGCGAACTCTACGAGTTTCATTGATCTCTGACAGGGTAAGCGATTACCATCTCTATAGCTTAGGACAGGACAGACAATAAAGAGGGAGTGGTGGGTTAGGAAAACCTTGTGGAAGCATAAACCCCAAACGGTCGTTTCAAAAGGGTCTCCAAGTTAAATACACTTAGTCGTTCTCCCAGCTATATAAATTTGTCTTGTCGTCGATTCAGTGTTTGTGGTTCACTTTGTTTTGCATACGCCCTTTTCTGGTCACTCCGTATTCAGCGTAAACGAGTCAACAACGTTATTGAGATGATCAGCGAATTGTGTGACCCGGTTGAGCCTCAGGCACATATCAACTCAGCATCTGAGGCACCACCCTGCAAGACTCAAGCGGAAGGCGGTTCGCAGCAAAAGGACACCAGGCCGGTGGAACTTCAACCCACACTCAGCAAAGATGTCGAACGGGACATCCGGTTAAAGGTACTAATGGAATGGTCTTTGCACCTTGTGTTTTGTTTTGCTGGCCTGCTTAACGGCTATGTTCCGATATCGTTCTCCCATTCTTTGCACTATTCGCGCTGATTAAACTAAGACGGACCCCATTTGTTTGTCGTTGCTTTGAAGAAGGTTATGTTATGTCAACAGTAGTATTGTTTTTTGGCTCCTTGGAACACTGTGTCAGACAACTCTTGAGCGTTAGAGTAACCATGTAAACCTTTCGCCTTGTGACCTACTGACGCACATGGCATCCCTTCGCATCCTTCATCTGCTCCAATTGTTCATTCGTCCATTTGTTGCACCCCTTTGTTGTCCTGATATTGACACCGTCATTCCTTATCCCGCGAGTGAAATGTCCACTGGTTGTATTTTCGTCATTCATGTTCCAACTGTGTGCATGTTAGAAAAGCCGCATACGAGATCAATCGGTGTTATTTCTCCGTCAATCAATAGACAGTCTTGTTGGCAGTTGCCATCTCTGATGGAGGAACTGGATTGATACGCACCGTTGATTGAAAACAATGAAAGACGGCTGAGTCAGAATTCACTGGCTCGTGCTGCATTAGAAAAGTAGGACTACTCAAAGTCAATGACCAGATAAGATACCCACCACCTTATTTTCCTTATTCTTGATTAATAGAACTGCAACAGTTTGATCCACTACACCTTTTGGTATTTGGTTCATAGCCAACCAGCTAGACCAAACTGTTGTCTCTCATTTTTCAAGCACATGCTCTACCTTGGAATCCGTCCTACTGTTGCAGATTACTAGATGGCTTTCTTGCCTTCGGCGGGCTACTCGCTTGTAGTAGCCTCCATAGAGAATTTTGACCATCTTTAGGTATTAGAAAGTAAAGCTGTTCAGACGGTCATTGAAAACCACGATTGTGTGCAAGGGCTTATTTTTATCACCAGTCCCCAGATGTGCACGTCAATTTTCACAAAGATAGACAGCCTAAAATGTCCCCACTTTTCTCTCGAATTGGACAATAACTCTCGACTACAAAGACCGAGCTTGACGTCATGCACTCTATTTAAAAGTCGACAGGAGCGGTCGAGATACCGAGATGGGTTCGAACCACGGATCTTCCGGTCAGTAAGCACTGAACCATCTCGAGCTCACCCAAGCGGGTCAGTCAAACGCATTTACATGCTGTGGAAATATCCAATCTAGTGCAGCGTCGGATGGCTTGTAGCATGGAGTGACGTAGTATGGACATCACTATCATTGACAGCAATACACTAGTAATCCATGCTGCTGCGATCCGCTTCCGTGGAGGAGTAAGTCAACGCACACCAACATGGTAGAGACATTTGACTAGGCTTCCGCAGCTGGTTGCGTTAATAAAACTTGCCCAGTCGAGTTCCTTGATTTTGGTTTGGTTCGAGCACACTGTTGTCTCCAAATGGTGTGATCGCACTGCTAGTGCCAGCGCTATCACTTGTTTGCGATCGGTGTCCATGATTAACTGTGCGCTAACCGAATGCTTTTTACCGGGTGCATGTTTCATTAGACTGCGAACAGGAATCGCTTGCTACAAACGTGTTTCTGCATGGGAACATGAAAAGTCCGTTCCCCCAGCAGCATGCCAGTTAGACACTAGTTAGCAAGACGTTTCCTGAAGACCGGGTCATTTTTTCCTTGAGTATAGCGAACACCGCTGCTCTCGCCAAGATGCTAGTACCGATAACTGAACAGCATTTCCATTGGTTGCGCGTCGTCCTCTTGCCATCCAGGTAAAAGACGGTTGGTGAATATGGCACTTCATACCTATCGGCACAAAATGTCTTCGAGCTTTTTGTAGGAAATATACAATCCTTAGCTGCCTCCACCAATAAAACCCTGTTGTTAGTGCATTCTCTCCATGGGATGGACACGAAACCTGCATATCTCGATCAGTACTACCCGTGTTCTGCGACGCGCGATGATCTTAGTTTGATGTTTTATCGTACGCTGAGTGAGATTCAAGGTAGGCGTCATGCGAAATGGTTCTCGGCTATTTCTGTTTGTATTTTGACGTTGACAAAACGTTCCGAATAGGGGTCAACGAGTCTTCTGATCACACGTTCATCCTTGTTCTCAATCCAGATAGCCAAACTGGAAGTCCAGTTGAACGAAGTAAACGAGTCTCTACACGAATGTGTCCGACGAAAGGAGTTTGAGAGAGCCATGGGGTTGCGAGATCAGTGTGCTCAACTGGAAAGCGAAAGATCGGCCCTGCTTGGCCAGCTTCATGGGGAGAATATTAAGCCTGCACAGTAAGTTACCGCCCTCTTATTAAACCCATCACAAAGCGACTGTGGCCCATCGATGTGTTTGCATGTATTCACTCTTCTACCCCACACCTTCCTAATTCGAAGATTCACTCTGCAGATCCCAGTCATAAGACTGGTCGGTTTGTTCGCAGTGCATCACACTCAGCTGAAGTTTCTTTACGTCCGACCTCAGTAACAATCCTACACAAATCGAAGTGTGCTTTCAAACCCCAAAAGCTAGTCTACCTAAATGCCTTCAATGTTCGCATATTGAAGCAAGCAGGATAACAGATGGCGTTCGCTTGTACGCTGGATTCTCTCTGCATTGATGTAGGTTGTCTGTCATTATAGACAAACGCCAAGCACAAACCTTGTTGAATAAACTGTCTATCATCGTGCCTTCTTCGCCATATGCCTCGCGACTTCAAAGTGCAAGGTCATACTTCAGATGGTATGGTTTCTGAAGGTAACATTTTCAAAGTGAATCACAGTGAATTGTGGCTAATTTTACATACCTGTGTAGTTGTACCAGCTCTTACGGAAGTGTGTCTGATGAAGTCAGTGCACGATTCTCAAAGACGAGAATCACGTTTGCTAATTTGTCACTTGTGACGTCAAAATGTCATACCACTCTGACTCAATGGTTGCATGTACTATGCTATGATAGAGTAGACTCTCTGACTGAGGACAGACGATATGAGGCGTCTTCAGGGTTTTGAGCACCGTTGCGTCGTACAACATTATCCATTCACACTTAACGAAAACTTTCTTTTAACTATATGTCTCTGTCTTGGGACCAAGCGGATGAAGTGACCAAAGTCATCCTGTCCTTTGGCATGAGCTTTGCACCCACAATGTGCTCCTAGACAAGCAGTCGCTCAACACGCCACTTACCATCCATGGAGAAGCACTCGAATTTTTGGATCGTTTTACGGATCTTGGAAGTTGTATTATTTCCAAATGTAGCTTGACGGATGAGGTTCGATGCACGAATCTGCATGGCTCGGGCCGCGTTTGCTAATTTGAGACACCTATGGCGTCAAGGTATTTTATCCCTGAATCTCAAGGGACGTGTGTATTAAGCTACAGTGCGGGCTGTTTTGTTGTATGGCTGTGAGACTTGGCCTATTCGATCAGCGGAACTGGGACATCTTCGGGTGTTCTTCAATCGTTTTCCCAGAACCGTAGCCCGTGTGGATTGGTGTCGGCGAATCCGTAACAAGGTAGATAGGAATCGCGTTTTCGGTTGTTCAACGGGCACTTCCATTGAAGTATGTGTCCAGCATCAGAAGCTGCGTTGGTTGAGACCTGTGTTGTGTATGCCTAACCATCGTTTGCCGAAGAGATTGCTGTTTTTCATGCCCAACTCAGAGTGGCGTTCCCGTCAAAAAAAAACCAATGGTACACAATGTGTATTAACGCTCAAAGCCAGGTCAAACACATGTACAACACGGCACATATAAAGTGGATGCGGCACTGGCAACTCGTATTCAGCGAATACTGGATCATGTTTGTCCGTTGAGTCCTCACTTTTGGCCAATCAGAGCTCCCCTTGATGCTTGACCGGAAAGCGGTCCGATTTCTTGACCAATCGCATGTGGTCCTTTTGGCGTAGCAGCGCATCAGAGCTCCCCTTGATGCTTGACCGGAAAGCGGTCCGATTTCTTGACCAATCGCATGTGGTCCTTTTGGCCGTAGCAGCGCCTAACTGTGAGCGGTATCGGTGCGAAATTCCGCCTAACAAGTATACGGCCAACTTTTCGGCGATTTCCTGACAATTCTGAAGTTTGTCGAGGACGCATGCTTACCCATTCTTTGTCGCATTCTGGGAGAGATGACGATGTTTTATGCTACATATAAGTTCAACGTCGGTTACGCCGAACTTTGACCTGAGGTTGGCATTCATGGTCAACATTATGCCGATTTGATCGTTTCCGCGGATTGCCTACTGCGCACCATAAACTCTTGAAAGAGGGAATTAATAAGTATGACAGGCCGTGCATAAGGAGTAACTGACAAGGACACTGCACAATAGTCATTTACGGTCAGCTGATGAATGAATCTCGAACTTGTGAGTCGCTGGAATTTCGTCACTGCAACAAATTTCATGTAAGCCTAGAACGCTCTCTCTATTCTTGGTTCCGAAACTGGAAGATTTAGCAGTTGGTAGAGCGATCCGATGAACTGTGGAAGAGGTTTCCTCCGGTCTTGTTCGAATCGCATCAGCGGCTGGCACATTGCAGCACAATGGTTACGCACAAGCCGCCTGTGGTTTGCCTACTGGGGATCCACTGGATCAACACTTGGCTAACAAAAATTGGCTGGGTAATTTTGATCCATTTTTAACTGTTTTATTCAGTCAGACGGTAAATTTTCCCAATTAGTACTCATCATATACTGAGTCCATTCAACGCGAGCAGTGCGAACTGAACGACGAATTCGAAAATTCACCTTGAAGCTAAACGTATATGTCGCTCACTCATTTCTTCTTAGCCGCTCTCTTAACAGCGTTCATGAGATTTTATTTAGCTTATAGATTTCCGGCCATTTTGAGTCTTATCACTTTATCAATTCGGTTTTATTCGCTTGATAGTTCATACGACCATGAAAGTCCCTCATCTTACCACTAATGTAGAGAAACTCCCAATAACCAGACGAAACCCGATGCAAAAGGTGAACACTCAAACTCAGAAGCTGCCACGGAAGTTAAACCCGGTGCACCGGAGTTGGAGGATGACGAAGATGGAGAAGAGAAAGCCGCGGAGGACGGACTACACAATCTCCTTGAGCGGTGTTCAGCTGCAGTGTTACAAAAAGCGAACCGTCTTGCTGCTTTGGTCGTACAACAAGCTCCCACACTTTGGAGGCTCCCAGCTTCACTGCGCTCACTGCTAGACAGCTTGGTGAGTTGCTTGCCCGTCACATGCTTATCGCCTAGCCACAACGTTGCGGTGTTTAGTACCCACCAACATCGACTTGCCACTTCATCATGCGTTTGTTAACTTACTCCATCTGTTAAACCAATATATTTCACTCCATGGAGCGCACCTAATCAACCAGTCCCTGGTACACACTTGGTGACTCGCTGCATACTTAGCTCATCATTGTCAGCTGTAAGAATCGCGTATCTGTCGTACAATGGTTGTAGTTAACCAGTGCACTGTGTTCTTACTGCCGTTCCGAAACTTGTCGTATTGTTTGACTGTATCGTTGAGTCCTAGCTTCGAGTTAGGCTCACTTGACTCGCGGTAGCTGATACTACGTGTGACCGGAATGGTTCAGTATATCAAATCCTGGATCAGTACTTGAATGATCGGGGTTCCACCACTATGGACACCTAACCATTGGGCATCCGTTCTCTGTTGGTGTTTCGGAAATAGGGACATATGAATGCTTCTACAAATGTTCTCATTTTGTCGACACCGGCCAGGATTTATACCAATGGCACGAACGGACACCTAGGTTACTTGTAGATAGAGAGCACTCCTTCAGGAAGGTCCATGAGTTGGAGGTCTGATCCAGTTGAAATTAACCGCAGCTAGCATATCATTGCCGGATAACTGGATTGCATTTTTAGCTAGATTGTTCGTACCCCGCAAAGTTGCCTCGGTGGACGTAGTCTGCGTGGCCCATGTTTGGCTGAAGGTGTTCGTTAGAGTCGGTGTTCCTTGTTGTCTAGCTGAAAAGTTGGTTATGTAGGCATCTTGAAATGTTTAGTATAGACGCATCTTTCAAGATTTGAAGTACAAGTCTCTTACAAAGCCCATAGTTCGATTGTTTCCGTCTAGACTTGGGAAACCTTTATCCGGTTCACAGAACCGTCACGTGCCTAATAAGGTACCCACTTAACGTTTAGTTTGCTGGCGATACTTAGCGTATGTACGACAAAGAAACTATCAACTTTGAAACATTGTGTCCGCTTTATCCATCTTATTAAAACTGACAGATAGTTGGTATTTGTTTCCTTTCTTCATCCGCGAAATTAAAACATGCAAGCGAAGAAACATTGTTGAACTTTTTGGTTGATCTCTGCAAGTCACCCACCCGATCAATCACAACGTAATCATCGTTTGCTTCATCTGCTTTTGTGCACAAAGTCAGGGCTGGTTTAATTTGATCAGCTGTCTTTTGTGCAATCGCCTCAATCCGATGGCCAGTTTCGAATAGATGTCCGGCTGTTGACGATGCGGTTATCCTGACATTACTTGGATTTATTTGTTGCTTATGTCCGGTGCAAACCTTGATTGAACTGAGCAAGAGGGCGACGCCGTTGGACTGTGGTTTGGCTTAATCCATCACAAATTTATTGCCTTTTTCTGCACCTTTTTGACCTAGATTACGGTCGAGCTTCTGTACTGAAGCCCTATCGGTAATGCAACCAGCATTGTTTCGAACTATCGGATGGAGCGTATTACCGAATACTATGTGATCCGGTGTCCTGTTTTCCTTAGCGCGTGTCGTATGCGTGTTTAGTTAGTTTGTTTTCACAAGCGTAAAAGTCGTGCAGAAACTTAAGTCACGCCTAACTAGATTTTCTATTTTGACTATTCTAACGTACATGGAGAGACATTTCACTTTGTCTTTTGATTCATGGTCTTTTGTATATGATGACACTATCTGCTTGTCATACGTCATTTCTTCATTCGCACTCGTTTCCTTCCGTTAATTTGCCGCTAGATCTTTCCCAGTATCCAGCACAGTGATCCTTCTGTCCGGAATCAGGCAATCCTGACTTTGGGCTTGTGTTGTTCCATGGATTTACCGCTGGCTATTCAGTACTTGCATCTGTTCTATTCAGTGAGTCTATGCTTCCTGTGTTGTTTAATTAACTATATTTTTAGTGAGGACAGTTAAGCCTCAATATATGTCACTTATGCATTGCTGTTAGTGCTACTAATGGGTCTGTCGCCAATTTTACTCCGGATGCCCAATCATGTGGAAGTTCCCCTTCCCTCAGTGGTGAGCAGCGTATATTGTCGTCCAGAGAAACAATCTGACTACATTTACTTCACCCTCAATTCACAGCTTTTGAAAGCTGTGACGACACCGAAGTCATAAGTAACGAACTCAGACACTAGCAACAGGACTCTCATGCACCTGAACTACAATCTTCAACCTATGACATTCCTGTCATGCTTGTCCCATCCGCTCGTATCCAAAGGGTTTCGATATTGAATTTCAAGGGCTTTTCAAGGATTTACGTTTAATTTCAAAGAAGGAACACCCTTTGGAATGCTTTTACTTCGTATCGGGTTATTTCTACAGGTCTAGAGGCACACAGAACAGCACTTTTCTCGGTAGGCAGTGTTTCGACATGCGTAGCACATGGGAGGGTCATCGAAGTCGATGGTGCTGGAAGTTCTCCATGATTGAAATACCTCCTGCACAACCCAATGACAAAGTAGACACACAACCACAGGCTGGTGATCATGATAATCGGGCTGGTAGTTTAGTCAAGTTTATCCGCTTAGTCCTAACACGGGCATACAGTATAAAGAAGTTCTCGTAAAGTGGTAGGGGACTATGAGTTACGAGCGAGATGATCAGCAATGGATATGGGAAAGGAATACGTGAATCACCATGATTATGAACCATCAGTTAGCTTGTAAACCGGTGCAGCATGGGTGTACTAATGTTTCCGGCATCAATTACTGGTTTTCGTGTTCGGCGTTCGATAAATTATCAGTATCTACACGAACAGGCATCATCATCAGAGACAGCACTATCAATGTCGACACTACTGCTCCACTGCCGTACAACCATAGATCTCATCTAATTATCGGAATTTACTCATTTGCAAATAAATTTGGTTTTGTGTCGATGTTGTTTTTAAGCAACTGAATGTACTGCGCCAGGCCGCCTCATGCTTCATCATAAACGAAAGATTCATCCGGGTTCCAGGTGTCTCTCGTAAAACCAAATCTGTTTGCAGATGAGTGCATTTCGCTAATTTCGTGCAATTTGGGTTGGAGTGGAACATAGGTTAACGGAAACTCGGGAACTACACCTACCTGGTGAGTCCCAAGAAGGGTGAAACTGATTGTGGAATGTTGAAGAATTTGCAGCAACCTTATGAGCAATTTATTGTCTATTCATCTATTTATTTCTAAAGCCGTAGAGTGAAGGCGAGAGAAGAAGGTTGGGCGAGGGAGGGAACTCGATGTCAGTCCATGTCACGTATCCTGAGGTACCTATACCTCTAAACACTCAATCAGACAGTTTCAGAAGACACTATAAGTATGAACGCGACTGACATCCATCAGCAGACATTTCTTGCAATGTCTCCAGTCAAGCGCAGGAAGGGTCGTGGGAACCGCAGCCTGGAAGGCGTACAACATCAATAGCACCCAAACTCTTTGTAATCACTTTCACACCCTGCTGTCAAGTCATACGTTTTCTGCCTCGCGGTTCGCACCATTCTGAAGGAGGCACGAAGAACAACACTAGTCTGGATAGAAGGTGACTCGGCATCCGCAGAACATGGTCGAGCCATCACAGTCGGTGATAGTGAATGTCTCCCGCAATTGGCGTACCTTCTGCACAACCGTATACGCGTATCCGAAACCAACAGTGCCTCTGAGACATCGGTGCTCAAAAACCTGAAGACGCCTCATATCGTCTGTCCTCAGAGGCCGAGTCTACTCTATCATAGCATAGTACATGCAACCATTGAGTCAGAGTGGTATGACATTTTGACGTCACAAGTGACAAATTAGCAAACGTGATTCTCGTCTTTGAGAATCGTGCACTGACTTCATCAGACACACTTCCGTAAGAGCTGGTACAACTACACAGGTATGTAAAATTAGCCACAATTCACTGTGATTCACTTTGAAAATGTTACCTTCAGAAACCATACCATCTGAAGTATGACCTTGCACTTTGAAGTCGCGAGGCATATGGCGAAGAAGGCACGATGATAGACAGTTTATTCAACAAGGTTTGTGCTTGGCGTTTGTCTATAATGACAGACAACCTACATCAATGCAGAGAGAATCCAGCGTACAAGCGAACGCCATCTGTTATCCTGCTTGCTTCAATATGCGAACATTGAAGGCATTTAGGTAGACTAGCTTTTGGGGTTTGAAAGCACACTTCGATTTGTGTAGGATTGTTACTGAGGTCGGACGTAAAGAAACTTCAGCTGAGTGTGATGCACTGCGAACAAACCGACCAGTCTTATGACTGGGATCTGCAGAGTGAATCTTCGAATTAGGAAGGTGTGGGGTAGAAGAGTGAATACATGCAAACACATCGATGGGCCACAGTCGCTTTGTGATGGGTTTAATAAGAGGGCGGTAACTTACTGTGCAGGCTTAATATTCTCCCCATGAAGCTGGCCAAGCAGGGCCGATCTTTCGCTTTCCAGTTGAGCACACTGATCTCGCAACCCCATGGCTCTCTCAAACTCCTTTCGTCGGACACATTCGTGTAGAGACTCGTTTACTTCGTTCAACTGGACTTCCAGTTTGGCTATCTGGATTGAGAACAAGGATGAACGTGTGATCAGAAGACTCGTTGACCCCTATTCGGAACGTTTTGTCAACGTCAAAATATAAACAGACACCGACATCAAACGAAAATCATCCCACGTCACAGAACACGGGTAGAACTGATCGAGACACACAGTTTACTTGCCAGATGAAGAAACAGCACCAACCATTTCGTCTTTAGTTTTATTTGCCACGTGGTTTCCGATGTGGCGTGAATTAATTTTGGGTGCATGCTATTTGCGGTTTTACGTGTGCTAGTATCCTGCCGGGGTGCCCACACGTAGACAGTAAGTTCATTAGAGTGGTTGATCGGAACATTTCGCTCGAAGTCAGACCGGATGGTGTCTGTGTTCATTGAAATGTGGAAGTGCATTACCATTTTTATTGAACAGGTCGCCAGTTGTTTGCTGCCCCCAGCCCGAAGGTCCAGGAGACTCTGGTAGTCATATCTCTAACCATTGACCCAGTTGGTGTGGGAGAGATCGTCGCCAAGCAAAATACAGATATGTGATCTGACTTGTGCACTTCAAGTTCGAATACGGCACTGTAATGAAGAGACCCATCTTTCTAGGACGCACTACAAAGCACATATGATGAGTCCAAACATTGGAAAACATACTACTTCCGATGGTTATCCATTAGTCGCCAAACTGTGCCCTTGAGTCGTTCGGGTCTTGAATTTTGGTTGGAACCTAGTTCCACCGGGCACATCCACGCCATGAAGACCACAGCGGAACAGTTAAACTAAGGTGTGCGAGCCCCTTTACTGCGTGTACTCGCATTACGAGGCAGTCTTGGGGCACGTACGTTCTGTCCTCTGCCGTGTGCCACTGTAGAAGTGCGATGTGAAGACTGTAAGGTGTTTCTTCCAGGTAGGCATCATGTTCGTTTTTATGAATGCATTGTTGCTGCCTTCCTCCGCGAAACTGTTTGCTCTAGAAAGTTTGTACCCCGATCGTTTGATTGTTGAGCGTCAACGCCGACGAATTCCCTAGGTGCAAACTAAGCACACTGGTGACTAGCCGCTCCTGGCCAAACTTTTGAATGTTCAATCTGCTGGGCGGGAGGTCGCTGGTGCAAAACTCCGTTGAGTTTCGTGAGATTCGCATCCTTGATTCTCCATATGGTGGAAACAACTTCTTAGCATTGATTAAGCCAATCTATGCTTATTACAGGACAAAATCTCAACGGAAAATTATTCCACTAACAGTTTGAATGACAAGAGACATTGAAAAATTGATGTTTGTTGTTTGCAACGCTATACCATATAAGGTTAGAAAGGGAACGTTGCTTCTAGCTGGGAGGCTTGTCTGGGAATCTGACGGACAAATATACAACGGAATGTTTTGGCCTCCAATGACACTACAAAACTTCAGCGATGGCACTAATGGTAGCATCCCTCATCTGGTTTTCCGAGCCTTTACGGGAGCGATCGAGCCGTCGAGTGGATTCGGTTCGTCATTTCACGCCGTGATCCTCATGCCATCCCTGGCTTCCCCTGGACGGTTAACATCCCCAAGATGAATAGCCCACCTGGGCGGAAATATTGCACTTTAGTTAGCTGCTGTTCACTTAGTATGGTTTCTTCATCTTCACATGTTTGGTTTGCGGCTACGTCACATCCTCTTTGAGATTTCGCCAACTCACCGTTTGTCCCATTCCCCAGGCAATGCGCGTTGACCATGTGATGATCAGCGAAACTGCCTTGAAGTGCATAATCGATTGCTACCTCATCTATGGTTTTCGGCCGTTCCATGATGCCAAGGTGCGGCCGTACGCGCGTATCACGACTTCAAAAGATGCGAGTATACTGCTCAGCGAGGTTGGTGAAGGCACCGATTCAGATGGCGATGATGATAACAGTTGCGGTATGTTGTGTTGTTTGACTGTTCTTTCATACGAGGCTTACGCTGTACCTTGCTTCATTTTCTGTGGAGCTTAGAATCGCACTAAAATCGTGTCACTTTTTTTGCAGTCTTCACGCAAGTGTATGCCATGCATATATTCATACAGCACCGGTCAACTTCTAAACTCAATATTTAGTACAGTTCGCCTCAGTTCTTCCTTTTGAGTCCAAAATACACTAACTTTCTTATTCATGACGGCTACTTCTTTAAATCAATTCTCTTTCGATTACGTCTAATGTATGCTTATCCCGATCCAGTATTTGGATCGGGTTGTACGAATCTCAAAGTTGAGATGACTGTTTAGGTTGACTGTTCCTCGTTTCGGTTTACGTATACTTCATTGTCAGGAACGTGGAATCCCCTAATCGCTCGAACTTGACCTTGTGAAGCAGACAGACTGCGGCCGAGGAGCCGAACTTAGCGGATATTTTTGTACTGATCAAATGCCAGAATTGGGCTCATGTTCTATGACTTGATGGGGTCACAAACATAGCTGTTTTGAGTAGGGAGAATGTCCATCTTGCATACTTCCCCCCCCCCCTCATAATGTCAATTTGAAATCTTTTGAAGGTGGTCACAGTGTTACCAAAAACCGTGAAAACCCTATACAGCAAAGCTTGGTCGCCATTTTAGCTACCGCTTCCCTAGATGAGGGGCTCCCGGACGGGGCTTATAGGGTATTAGAAATACTGCTATGTAGCTATCTAACAAACTATTCTGCGTTTGTGTCTTCGACATGGAGTTTTTTAACGATACTACCCCACAGTAGTGCAAGCTAGTGTTTTCAATGCCTTGCTGCTTTTGATAGTGCATTTTCATGCATTTTCAAACACACACCCAAATCCTTTTTGGAAAGGTTACTTGTGTTGGTTCGACCATTTCTTATCGGGAAATTTTAGTGTGCTAGGTGCCATTTTGATCATCCACCGTTTCTGGATGATTGTTTTTATTCACAAACTTATCTCTATCGTCCATCTTGCTGTGCGTCATTTGAGTCGTATGGGCATTTCAGTGCGTTTTTCACGTCTTACCTTTTGTCGAACAACTGTGTGCCACCAATCAATGCTTGCCTGCTTTTCTTGTGGCACTATAACCTGATAGACTTTCCAAGCACTTTTACTGCAGTTCTCTCTTCCACCTGTCATGTGATTATGCTTTTTCCTTCCAATAGTTGCGTCTGACTACATTGTCCTCATGCGACAGAATGACCAAATTGCTGACGGCGCACAAGTTACACTTTCTAACAGACTAGTCCGACGCGAAGAAATGTCGAAAACTGCAGCACGTCTACTCAAACCGATTGTCGCATTGCTGGATAACGAGGTGAGAGATACGGCTGTTATTGTGTCTACCGTACCATCGTGTTCTATCTGTACTGATATCACCCGGCGCCAATCAGTTCACACTGCCATCGTCATGGCACTTGTCCGGTTAGATAGTGGCATACGCTGTCAGCTATAAACGACGTAATTCGGTAAATTTTGGACAACGAGATTGTTTCATTACATAATACGGTCCATCCCTTACGCATTCTTTTCAACACCCCTCGGCCACTATCTACAGAACCTTGTCTTGTTATGGTTAGTGTGTCCATTCACGGGTACTAAATCTCCTAGTACGAGGGACTTACCTAATATAATCTTTCGTCGACACTTCATGAGAATTTAACGCGTTTATCCTTTCATCCAAGTTAGTCATTTCTAAGCCTCATCGGGCACAATAGGACGGTACTTTGTCGTGCCATGCCGGCAAACATGTAACATGTTAGTCAAAACACGTGCCCATTTCGTTTTCTGTAGTTATAATAGGCACTGTCAGTAGTGTTCATTTCTGTTTTATATGTTATCCTTCTTAGGACGATGATCTGCGAACGACCAGTGCTTTGGGTCTAGCAAAATTGCTTATCTACGATAGATTCGTCTCCAGCCAAGTGCTTAGTCAACTTATCCTGTTGTGGTTCAACCCGATCAGTGAAGATCGCCCGGCTATCCGACGTGGTCTGGCCTGTTTTTTTACGGATTACGCATGCGGCAACACAGCAAATTCAACGGGTAGCAGCGCTAGTCACGATATTCACCAAGCGGCCTTGACCGATGCCGTTCTTCCGACCCTCTCATCCTTAATCCGTGCACCTGCCTCGTCCCCGCTTTCCGAAGTTGAACCGGCTGATGTCGCAGCCCTATTGGCTCACTTGACCGATACTATCCAGCTGAAGAGTGCTCAAGACACACAACCACGGGTGCAGAAGAAGCAGCAACCCGTGGATATGGCGGATCAAGAGCATTTGGAAGGCGAGCAACCGGCTCTTGAAACTGAACAGCTGATGCCAAACGAGTTGAGCCTGGTTAGTCTTGTTTTCATCATATTGGTTCCTTTTACTGTTTGTAGACTAGTCTAAATATGGGCACTTAAATCACCCACGCGAGATGTGTTAACTCGACCCAAACTCTGTAGATTCGCATGTCCCGCATCGATTTAGCATGGTCTGTGTTAGATTGTGCAGTTTAGGGAATTTCTTGCTTCGTTAGTCTGTTTGCTTATTTTTCTACCTCAGCAACATCGCCCATTGTGCTCCGTTTAACACCCCCCTATATTAACTGACTGCTTTCCGTTTTTTCTTCAATTTCCCAGAACAATCCTCATCACGATCGCCTGGCCTTGACGCTCGCAAGTGAAATCTTGAAAGCACCGCAATCAGCGGAGGCAAAGTTATACTTGCGCATGTTATCCCAGCTTCACCCCTCCCCAAAAAATGTGGAATTGCATGTTGAACTGCTCCTGTTGAGCGAAGCAATGTTCAAAGTAGGTTGGTTTAGCTGGAACGCTGTTTTCCAATGGGTTGTCATGGAACATTGCCTACATTTTTCAACTTCCCTGTATTGTGCATCCTATCGTTTTCGCCGTGGTCTGTTTATGGTTGGTTGTCACATGCACTCATAACCTACGTTGTCTACTCACAGGGTAAGTAGTGGGCTGATGACCAAAAAATCAGTCTGAATAGTCAAACTGTATTACATGCTATACGGTGGCTTTAGTGCTTTTAGTGGTTGGAGTTTTACTACCAAGCCGGAACTTTGTATGCGTGCTTCCGATAGAACAACGATGGATGGAAAGTACCGTTTTTGTACACAGTAGAACAGACTGGATATCTGAATAGAATCATGAAATACGCTACTATTTCATCGACCCTTCTGCCATGGTTCCCATGAATTGACACTATCACGAAGCGAATCGGCGTTCAAAACAGAGCGATTGTCTCTGCATTCACAGTATTGAGCATGGTTACATGAGGTAGCAATCGTGCGTCTTCGGAGTGTTTTCGAGTATCCTGATATCAACAGCGACTTTTTCAACAATGCGTGTTTTATTCGTTGGTTTGTTTGCAACCACATTTTAATTAATCTCTGGGTATCCGTTTGCACCGGTTCCATATTTTGGATCCTTTCGGTAAAGTGCTCTGTTTTCTCCTGCAGAGTGAAACCTCGCTTCCGTAGACTGCAACTCCATAGCTTTCGCTGAAATCTTCACTTGTCGTAATAGCGAAAAAGAACTCATTACGTGGAAAAGAACTGTCTACCCCTAGTGGGTGGTGTCCATTCCTAGATTACTTGGTTCAACTTGGCTTGTGGGGAGCCCTGTTTTTGATTGTTCTCAGAGTTCTTTCTGAGGCAATGTGAGTACAACGGCTTAATGCTTCTTATGTTGGCCCTCCTGAATGAGTGTGATTATGTGGAAATAAGCCTCAACCAGCTGCTCGTAAATTCAGCACAACCACAAATTGCTGTGTCAAGACGACAACAGTCCTGTAACTATCCTGCTAGCGAACCCTTAAAAATAACGAATGGTCTTTTCCACGTTGGTTTGGCGTGCAAAATTTTTATCTACGTCGTTCTCGCTCTGCTTGGCCTCAAATGTCAGCCAGCAATCTGGACAATACGTTTGAGCGAGTATTTAATCAATCAATTAATCATGTTCATCTACCTTCTATGACAAATTGAATCAACTTTGCCTTCCTGCTTCCTTCACAGTTTGCTGACAGATCATCCACCTTATTACTCCATCGGTTTCGCAAACAAGTTTGCCAGAGTTTAGAGCAACTTGGTTTAGATCCGGAAAAGGTATTAATTGAGGCCAAAAAAGCCAAAGCGGCCGAAGCTGGTAGCCAACAGACCAGGGAAGATCATGAAAACAGTGCGTCGGATTCGTCTAACAGTATTCGGGATTTGGACACTACTGTGTTAAACGATGCACACAAGCGAATCGATCCTAACCACCCAACATTGTTGGGTTCCGCTCGCCCAAATACACACTTGTTGGCTAACGCGAACACTGCACATGAGGGTGGACCCACTCAGCGCCTCGCCGCATCCTCCTTGATCACTCAGAGTCAGCTTGGTCGTACGTTGCTTGGCGTGTCTGTACTAGGTAAGTATTTATTTCTGTTGTCTCCAATGGTCTGGATTTTTTCTGTGCTCCTGTTTACGGCACCATGAGCACTTCCTCAAACACTGATAGAAGCTTGATAGTCAGTCGAGATCAACCTAATGTCTTCGCATCCATTGTTAGCCGTGTCCCATATTCCGGTTGTCCACTGCTAATTCACTATCGGTAAAAAACAGACAAGATTGGGGGCGCATCCAGAACGACAACCCACGCTAGCTTGTTAGCATTTGTGAAGAGTAGTTTTTGAGCAGACTCACTGCAATCCTTGTGAATATTTATGCGTTTAATACTTTGACTCTGACTAGTTGATTGGATCCTGCTTCAAGTCGCTTCTCGCATCGAAACAAGTGTTTTACCACCTCGGCTTACTCGGAATGCAACCCTATCAATCTGTTTAGGTGAAGTACCACTAGGAAAATGGGAATGGACTTGTGTCATTCCATCACACACACCCATATTCGATACATGATCGGGTAAAATGAGCGCTTTAGGACAAACGGACATCCGCCGCTAGTTATGGAACTTAGCCGTCGTAGTCCACCTGTGGCTACCCGTTTTGCCCATATGTTTTCTCTTGCTCTTCTAAATTACTGGGCCAATTTTTCTATCAAACCCTGATAATCTTCTAGAAATATCGATGAACAAACGCAGGTGACTTACCTTCATCTCATAGTGATCACATAGTAGGGGCATTCAGCAGTGTAGACATATCAGTGGAGTGTGGTCGCTTTCGTTCGTACAAACAACGATAACGTTCTTCTACGCAACAAGTCGCGTCATTAAACCGCCAAAAAACCCACTAAATACATCATCTGTGGCTTTTTATGTCAGTTACGGAAAATTTTCGTCGTCAATTGTTTACTCTTCAGCTGGATTTTCGTGTGTTCCGGATGTCAACCCTCAACGTCCAAATGTAGTCAGCAGGACAAGCCTTATGATTATCTTCCGTCGCTCATTGGTGGTTAAATAACACTCTATGAATATCGTTGCCTCCTTTTTCGCGAACTGCTACTTCTCCATCCTGTCTTCATCGGACTGAAATCTATGAGCTCGAGATAGCTCAGTGGTTAAGGCGCCAGCTTACGGACGTGATTCGAACCCAACCTCAGCATCTCGACTGTTCCTGCCTAGGCTTGAACAATCTGGCAGTATTTCTCATGCCTCCTTCCGTTGGCAGGCAGCTAGGCGCGGAAACCGTACTACAGCTGAACGACTGAAACCCATCTGATAAATTGATGGGGCTAAATCCTCGGCGTAGTTGCTAAATCCATAACTACCAAATGCTTGACGCTAGTGTCGTTAACACGTCTAATTCCAAACCCCACTCACCCATGCACCCCTAAAGCTGTTTTTCGTAGGTCGGTTCATTTTTACACTAAGGCCTCGACAACAAACTTAGAGTTGTCCTTCGGTTGTTTTCACATCCCATCTTCCTCGCCCGTTTCAGAAAAGTCCAGATATCACGGCACCTTGTTGGATTTCTCCGAATCAGACGAGTCCGACGTTGTGTCCCCATTGGCTGAGCTGGCAGAAGAGCCTGCTAAACCGACCTCGATCTCCACGACCACAACTGTCAGAACAAAAAACCACAAACCCACGAGGCGTGTACGCATTCAGCCACAGAAGTCCCAAAGGATGACTCGTGGCAGTTCCTCCTCCGCTGGAAGCGAATATCACGATTTGGAACAACACGAAGAAATAGGCGGCGATGAAGAGAAGGACAAAGAGAACACTCTTGCTGTGACTCCCCTCCAAAACCGCAGACTTTCTGCGGAGCCGCCCGATTCGCAGTCACGCGTATCGACGTCTGTAGACAATGGACAGATGCGCGCTCCTAACGTCATTCCGAAGCCAGGGCGAAACACCCAGTCCAAGCGTCGCTCCCCTCAATCGTTAACACGCAATGCGAGAGATTCCTCAACCATGGCAGCATCACCCACTCCAATTCAATCCGCAAACACTCGTCGGAACGTGCGCAGAAAGTGACACTTGATAAACTTGTTCTCTCAACGTTCTTATCAGATTGCGCTTGATGTATTTTTGTGAATCCTTTGTGAATGATATTGATGTAATCGATTGTTCTAGTATTGTAATTTTTTCAAACCAAGTGTCACTTTCAGTCGAGCGGCGGACCAGCAACTGTCCATTGTCGTTTTAAACCGAGCATGTATAGGATAGCGCAAGCTGACGTCTGGTGTTCAAATGGGATATCTTCAAAAACCTTTTCCATATGAGGCGTTCTGATGCAATTCCATGTCTTATCTTCAATGGAGATGTCGTTCTGTAATTGAAGCTAATTTATGCTGAAGAGCCATGAAGTACTGTACAGCTGTGTCATCATCCGCAGTACGCATCTCCCGATACCCCATGGGATTTCGAAACTGACCTTCTGGCTACTAGTTGAACACTTCAACCGTTCGGTCACGAGCTACTGCCCAGCAGGGTGGTTATATCGCGCTTAGGGCATAGTGGAATCTCCACGGAAAATTCCTAAACCTCCTCACACTCGCGGGCTAGTATAGCGCACTTGGGATCAAATGGCATCTCCTCACGACAGAGCGTATATCACAAGTCATGATAGGACTTGAACAAGGGAGCGTTGTACTGCATGTAAGGCGTTCGCGTATTTGAAATCCGAAGTTGACTTGGTTACTTCCGATCTTCCAGAATCTTCTCTGACACATCATGGATGGCAATAGCGGGGACAGTTGCGAAGCCGTCAAGTGGCATATATCTAGGACCCGGGTCCCCACGGTCACATTGTTGGAATAGTATATGCTGGTTCGGCCTGGACGGGCAGTTGAGCACATTCAGTGCTGTTTCGATCTAGCGGACTGAAGTTTCAGCCGGAGTGGACCTGCAGACTACCGGTATTTATGGAACCCGTGGTTCAGTGTAATTCTATCAGGGGCGTCATTTAAATCCGTTGACTAAAGTCCAACACCAACTCGTCACGGCGTGTTTTACAGAAAGCGGGATTTATGTATTTGTTTGAGTCCATTCATTGCAAGTTGCTAACATATCGCCGTCCTGGAATCAAACGATTGTTTCATCCGTTTTTACTTTATGCTACTGTTGTTCACTCATCCATGTTCGACCAGTGGTTTACGTGCAAACGGCTGGCTGATAAATCCAATTCACAGAAAATAGTGGGCGGTATAATTTTGTTGAGTTTCGGATCACGAACTAAGAGTCGAAGTGGCGTCCTGTAAATTCTGTTCACCACTCGTTTGAAGCGATATCTCTTACGGGACGAAAATCTTAGATTCTCATAAGGAATTCCGGATTCCTAAAACTTTTAAATTGTCCTTTAAGAGGAAACCTGATAAACGCAATGGTTCATCATCATCATCGACAGTATGACATCAGTGTTCAACGCCGATGCTTCACTGCCGTACATCCCAATTGCGATCGTATTCACAGAGACGGGATGCTCGAAAGCAGAACTCAATAGAAAGTGAATAACCACGTGTGTCCGTCTAATGTATATATATGCCCATACTTTTTCTGAAGGTTAAAAGACAGTTGGAGACACGATGTCAATCCCCCGACAATCGTTTTCTGCGTGGCGGGCACGGAGGTAGAAATCAGTATTCTAACATTTCGATGAAACGGAGAGCCTGTTTTATCAGACAGATCCAGAACCAGTGGGACTCCAGGCTTGTGTGAAGGGGATCAAAACTACACCTCGAAATCCATAGTACATAGATAATTCCCTAATTTAATCACGACGGCGCTATAAAAGGCTTGACCAGGCAGTTTCACATGAATATGAAAGCTCAAACACCGCATGTTTTTGAGAACAGCCAGGGTGGTGTTTTCAAAATGGGCCTCTTCACAAGGCTCAAGGAACTCCTTGAAAACGATAACTCTGATGGAATAGTGTTTTCATAATATCCATGACCAGCGCAGGGTTAAAAGTACAGGAAACTTGCGGTCATTTCCCAGTATAGGTTGCATTTTCTCACTGAATTTTTTTCGAATTATAGAACTCCGACCCAAAGTACTCCGCTAGATTAGCTCTACTGACAGGATGAAATCTTCAAGCCACCATCAACTACGTTCAGTAGTTTCAGTATGTTTGTTTCTGGTGGCAGTTGGAAATCATTCAGACAGTTTATTTCGGTTATGGAGTAGCTGCCACGAAACAATGCAAAGGAATATATCAGTCAGCGTGAGTAGGACTGTACGGCTGTCATAACAGTAGATTCTTTGTTTGGGGACAATGAATTGACAAGATTATAGGACTGCACAATTGTTCGAGTTCTGTCTGTTGGGTCATGGGTTACCATGGTGTGTTGAGCATTTTTGGTACACGGTCGACACGTCACTTCCTAAACTGGAACTTAAAGTACTCAGAGTGGTATAGATCAGCCACAAAACATCCTTCTGTCTGCCAAAGTGCAACAATGCTTTTTCCGGAGAATCTAGGCACGGTTGGGGAAAATGTGCGCTTCAGGCGTCATCCGTTTTTTTCTCACACATCACTCATCTTCCGCACCGCATCAAACTCGCTAGTCTGAGACTTTCACACCGTAAGCGAAATTTGCGAAAGCGAGCAATGTCCTGGGAAAGATACCATGACACATGGTCTGAATGTTCAAGATGTCGGGTTCGAAAATATCTGTGTTGGGTCCCAGCTTATTTAGGTGTGAGGGCACTTTGAGGTAAGGCTGCTTATTGCGTTCTCACTTGCGAACTTGCAACGAGTTACGGTCTCTGGTGAAAAGCGTTTACTTGTCCACGATGTATGTTTTAGATACCCCCTTCATTGATCTGAGAGTACCCCGTTATGGAGGTTTGCCAGCAAACAGTCAGAAGGACTGGTGGATACGCGACTGAAGATATAGCACTAAAAAACGATTGGATTGCGATAAAAAGTTGGATTTGGGATCGCCATACTCAACTACTTTTCCTGTTGTTCTCTGGACTGCTGTTCGAGACTCAACGAACATATTACCTGAAACCGTCTCCGAATATGTGTAACGTTGCGAACTAGGTATACTGCTAGCGAATATACACTCATTTGCAAACTAATGTCTTTTTTTCGAGAGACTCACCTGGAACCCAGCTGAATTTCTTGTTTATGATGTTCTCAGGCAACTGAATGTGCTGCACCAGACCGCCTTATGTTTCAGTCGCTACGACTGCGCCTACCTGATGAGCCCCAAAAAGAGCGAAACCGGTCGTGGGCTGTCGACGGATTTTCAGCAACCTTATGAGTAGTATATTACATAGGTATACTTCTGTTTTGTGAGCAACACGTATGTGGAGCCTGGAAAAAGATAGGTATGCTGAACCCCCACACACGAACATCCGAGTTTCGGGAAGACTTCGTTTGTCACTCACGTAACAATTTTATCGGTGATCGCAGGAACGCCCCCATGTAAGGTGAGGCTCTGGTAGGCAGCGTGAGACAGTCGGTCACGAATATTTGTCGTATAATGCTGATGTGGACACTCACAAGCTAAGTGTCTGTTACCGTCGTTTGGACTTTTGAGTGAATGTGCTCCTTTATAATTTCTTCGATATCCATTTTTCTCCGTTAAAGCTCGGATGTTTTGAATGACGCCGTGATCACAGCACTTTGGGAACAGCGGTTCTCGTCTGATCAGCAATGTTGTACGAAATAATGTGAATAGCGTCTATTGTATTCGCTTTGTTTCCTACCTTTACCAGCCACCAGCTTCTTGCATATGCTTCTATGTCAACGAAACTGGAGCTAAAACTTTCATTAGCACATTATCAGAGTATAATTTGGTCATCGTGTTCAAGATAGTGCGTCCAGCCAGTTCAAGAACACACCATGTTAAATTTAAAGGTAACATTCGCTCTGCAAGCGCATCAACTGAAGAAAGTTAGCCACGGTTGAGGCCAGTCTAGTCTACACCGGGGTTTTGAAATTGCTCAAGATGAAGCAATAATCTAACTTGACGCAACAATCAAGGTGGATTGGCTTGTGATATGTCGGAATAGCAGGCGCAGTAGCGAAGACAGAACTTCCCACACAACTTAAGGCTTAGTCTTAGTCCCACCCACATCACAGGAGGTCTCAAGGCTTTGGACGATGTAGGTTGTTTGTATAACAATTAGAGTCCTTGGTTAATAAATAGTCACTAATTGAAAGAAGGATTCCTTAATCAGCGACACTATTTTTGTCTATCCCGATACAATGATAGACAGTATCACTGGCGCAGATATCAGGGTATAACGACGCCACAGTGAAAGTCATCAGACCTGGTTAGAATTCACTTGACGCATTCCTCAGAATCTTGATGATGTTTTGGAAATAACGTTTGTTTTTATTTCTGTAATATCGAAGTTAATTTTGACAGACTGTCAGAATATTTGAAGATTTCCCTTAGCCATCCGGAAATTTCAACTCTGTTAGTCTTCTCTACTGCAAGACATCTTTCCCTAGAAAATCTCTTGTGTTCAAATTCTGCTTTCTGGACACGAAGTTTTTTCTTTACTCAGGCGAAAGATGATCGGGAAGACTCTCATGCACCGTCTTGTTTCCATTAAAAATTTGTGGGCTTGAGATGGATAGACAAAGTACCTGTCTTGATTAGCATAGAAAAAGAAATTCACAAGACGGCATCCCTGCCGATCATGTTCGGACAATTAATCAGCTATTTTCTAAGCGAATCTCCTACCAGTAACTGTTCCCTCAGCAGCATTTTTGCCATTCAGGTGCTGTCAGAACATCACAAACTTCTCGGGAGTCCCTGGAACCCATGAGAAGACTTAAGGGTATTTGTAGAGTGTTCCTAGTATTGGGCAGAACTCAAAATTGGATTTTTCTTTGGACTCTAACGAAAGTCGCCATTCAACGTCCCGAAGAGCGTGAATAGAAGATACTAGTGTGCTAAGGGTGTGAAGGATGCATACACGCTGAAATAGAGAAGAAACGTGATGCGGTCAGTGATACAGTTCATGATGCTCAACTTTGACGGTGTTTTGTTACCGGTGTTATTCGAACAACCGATTGAGAACATAACGAAAAAAGCATTGCTGGACCAAACTTCTGAATCGATAGGCGCAGCTCCAGCTAACGATGTCTTATCTATACAATCCCGGCCGAAGTTTGCAAGCACGTCAGCTTGAAGGAGGCACCTTGCGAGTGTAATGGTCGTTGACTGC